GTTCAATTCAAGCTATAAAGCTGATACATTATGTAGCATATTCTGATTTCAAAGTGCTATGTCCCCTCATTACAACATACATATGCAACACAGATACAGTTATTCATGTACTGTGCACAGCTATCTACTGCTATATTCTTTCAATATTAATTTAGTTGTTGTTTAAGGAGCTTCAGCATGAAAACTGGTCAAAGTATAAGCAGTATAATATCCAGTGGTAACAACCACGGCCACAACATACACTGCATAGGAATATGAAGTATGCTGCCTTGGTTTGCTTGAACTGTCTTTCTAAGAACACAGGCATCAGAGTGAAACGTGTGACCCGGAGCAGTCTGTCCCGATGCATACGAGGCTGCTTTAACCGAAACAAAAAGTGGTATTTGTGGCAGGTTACATTTAAATTGTTAGCACACAGTAGTGAGCAACAGTAAGTTCAAGTATCAACCAACAGGACATTTATTAAACAGAGCTACTGAATCATCATGAGATGACGTTATAAATTCCCATCTGTGATATAAATCAGGTTGTAGGTATTGCTATGGATAAAGCAACTTCTCAGATTTGCCATATGTATATTTATTCATCATCCCAGAGAAAGAGAGACATATAACCTACACAACAAGCAGAGTTTATCAGGTTATACCAGTGCATGAATAAGAGAAGGACATTTTAAAATGATACATTTCTATGAAATGACAATATGACACTTTAAATTACTATTATTATTTTTTGATACGTCCCTAAATTTGCCTCATAGCACTCACTGAAGAGGGATTTACAGTAGCTCATGGTCTGTAAATGACAAGAGAAGGACGTGTTATCACAGAAGGATATAGTGTAATGTGGAACGTTAAATTAAAATGACATTACAATTTGCATGTAGTTTAATTTGATTCTGTTTTAAATGTCTATGTTTAGTGCTGAAGTTACGGTTAAATAACTTGTTATTCATTTTAATTCACATTTTATCTTCACTTCTTAATTCAATTTGGTGTTCAAGGCCATTATGTCATTTTTATGTGTGAATACAAGACTGTAACACACGGTGACACTTAAGAATTATTATAGAGCTTGTACTCTTATGTTATAAGCAAATAAATTCTATTGAATTTCAATCTAAACTAAATTATTTGTAACTACTTTAATTCTCAAGCACTAAAGATTGAACCACAAATATAACATGAACCACACATCTTTATTTTTACCATGTGATGCGTGATTTAATTTCTGCATTTGAAGGTGTTTTATTATTTATCATATGACCGAAGCATTTCCCCACATCACATCATCACATCATCACATAATCACACGCATTTACACACATGTGTATAATTGTCCTATTACTGTCAAGGGAGAAAATTCAGTATTTCTAATATTTTCTCTTGTTATTGTGTCACACTGAGAAATGCAAAAGATGCCCCACAGATTGATGTGTTGTATTTAGTGTGCGACTTTCTGCTGCTGCACAGTCAGCCTGAGGCTAATGGCTCTCTTGTTTGTTGGTTTTGTCTCGTCTTGTTTCAGCGGTTCTTCTCCTCTGGATGGGTGTCAACGTCCCTGAGGATGCATGATGTCATCTCGTCTACCTGATCATTACACTACCTGCTCTCTTCTACAATACTGCCCTCTCGTTGCTCAGCCACTTGAAATGCTTGGCTGGCCTATTCTCTGAAAGCATCATGAAACTGTGTGCTAAAACACTGCAGAGTGTTCCCCCTCTCTCCTCCCTCCAGCCATGTGTGCAGGAGCCAGAAAAAGATTCCTCCACTTGGATGACTGCTGCTCAGCCAACAGGAAAACACACAGAACATCCTTGAGTCATCTGCCATTGCTCAGCTCTCACTGCTTTAATTTGATTTACTGACGTTCATAGTGTGGGATATTTTATGCACTGTGGCAACGTCCAGGTACATTTCAGGGCTACAAGTAAAAAACTGCTGAGCTTGTATATGTCATGATTTATTAAAGTCAGGTTCATTATAGAGATCAAACAGCTGGTCACTGGACATGACATAGAAGCGATTCTGTAAAGAGGGTTTTTTGCTTTTGTCATTTCTTTTTACAAAGGCTCTTAGCTTGTTAATATATATATGCACTTTACACTTGCACAGCAATAATTTCTGCCTGCATCATGTTTAATATGTAACTTAAACAGAGTTTAAATGTCATATTTCTATGCATCACAAGAACGTAATGCTATGGAAGGTATAAACCTCATTGTAAACACATTCTTAATGCATTAATATAATAATACAAATTTAGTTGGGAAGGTATTTAATGCTGGCTGAATTCTGTTTAGCTGCTTCAGTTTCAGGGTCCTGGTATTGTGCACGACGTCTTCATCTCATAGTGTTTCTAACATGACAGACACTAGAGGAGCAACCAACAAATGTAAAAAAAAAAAAAAAAAGAAACTCCAGTCCATGTAAAAACAGTAGCTAGGTGGCCACACTTGAAGCCTCAAATTAACGCCAACTAAACGTAATGCATTTTTGCACAAATGTGGACTGTGGATTTTGTCCCCCATCACTCATTGTAGTTTGAAAGTGCATCAGGAAAGGATCTTTTAGTGGCCAGTATTAACAAGAGGAGCGATTGCAGCAAGCAAAAAGGACTTCAACTGTGCTAAGGGCAAATGTTTCAGTCTATCCTTTAAACAATAGTCTCCTGTTTTACACACTTTTTCCATTGTATAATGGAGCCAACGCTGTCACCTGAATATTAATCTGTCCTTTACATTTCCATTTCCATGAATCTTCTTATTTTGGCAATCAAAAAGATCTTACACTATAATCTTACATTAACATTCTAAACATGCTAAATGAATCATTAATAAACAACAGGATTCATCATGCAGCAAAAATATTTGTAGCACTCAAACAGAGCTAACACTCGTGCCTCTGGGCTTTCCAGTCCGTCACCACAGTCCTCTGCTGCTCTACACTGAACAGTGTAGGCCTGCTCAAGGGCACCTCAGTAGAAAATGTGGAGTGAAGTGACTCTTTCTCCAGTGTCCCCAGCTCATCCTGGGATTTGCACCACTCACTCGCTGAATCTTAGATGTATGGAGACAGCTTCACGTGCTGAATTTTAAAAGCCTAAAATCCATCCAGTCCACCTGCTACACTTATCACCAGTCTTCAGCTCCTAAAGTAACCAGCATACGATTCTCTGTGACTCCAACATGGTGCACGTAGAACGTCTTCTGTGGATATTTGAACAGTCCTGATGTCAGATGTTTACTGAGCAAGATTTTTTTTTATACACACAAGATGTTAAAATAAACCTGCATACAAGGCACAGAACTAACATCTACTACTTCATTACCTGGTGGGTTGTAAACACTGCTCTTGAGAAATAGTAGGAATACCACATCATAAAAATAATCACATAAATATATTATGCATACACTGTGCACAAACTTTAGACCTACGATAGAGTTTTGACCAACATAAACAATGTGCTGATTGCTGCATCTACAGTTTTACAGCACAGTAATGAGTTATGTGGTTAATACCTGTAATCTTTTCCAGCTAGATCATCTTGTAACCCTTTAGAAATACAGTTATAAAATGAATCGAATGGTGACATTTACTGCATTGAACAGGTCTACTCAATTTTATTTAGGGAGCACACTGTAAAACAACAAACTTAAACCAAAGTGCATGTACAGATAAGTTAAAAATCCATTTATATATTCAAAAATGACAATAAATACAATGTAAAAACTACAAAAACACAGGATGTGAAATAGAATATAAACAATTATGTATTCAAATTTACATTTGGTTTTAAGAAAGGATATAAAACTGCCGGGGGAAGACCGGAGGTTTCAAACTGAATCATTTCACAATCTGTGCAACAACAGGAAAGCAAATGTATCAGTTCACATTTATATCAAATGTGGAGACAGGCTATGGATTAGTGACGTGTCCTCTCTTCTTGCTCCATTTTTCACTAACTGTGGTTAGAACAGAGATGACTCACATATAACTGAATTATAATAGACAAGTCCTGACAGAAAAAAAAAAATTCTATTACTTTATATTATAGTCCTGCCAGATACTAATTCATATGTACAGTACATAACTGGGATGGCTGAAAAGTAGTTTCTAACAGTGTGCAGCTAGTGGTTTTCTGTGCCAGCTCAGGTGGACATTAAAAATGGTAGTCACCAGTAACTGTCTTAGCTCCAACTCCCTTCCATGTTGTTCAGCTGGTCAGGCAACAAAATGAAGTAACATTAAAACATCAGTGTTTAACTGAGCTTTTCACTGGCTTGATTTCATCCCTTAGGATATCATGCTAAACAACCCCAAATGACATTGGGCTGATGGGGAGTTGTGTTCCCTTCGTCTAGGTGATAATATGGTCAGCAAGTGATATCTGTGACTACAGAAGATAAATACATTGAAGGCTACTGCTTCCATTTCACAGAAAGCATAAAGACTTACTGTGAGTAAAGTCAGACAGCACGTTGCTCATATTGAAACACCATATCTATTCAACAAAGGGAGCCCACGAAAAGAAATATCATAGAGAAGCTTTTTTATTTAGTTCACATCCAGTGCAGGTAGCTCTGAAACACATTATAACTCCACCACAGGGTACAAATGCACAAACACAAAAATAGGCATTACTTGCTACACATATTTTACATCCTCTTTAAACAGGAAGTTAATTAGGCAACTTGAATTGGTAAAACATGTTGCTGCCACATTGTTGCTCTTTGATCGTCACGCGTGCTGATTGAGGCGTGTCTGAAACAGATGACGAGTGGTTGTTATCAGGGCTCAAAGCCCCAGGATCCATTTGCAGTGCTGGCATCTCAAGCACCTCATGTTCATCCTCTGAAGAAGGTGAGACAATCCATTAAGTGAAAGGCATAAACACTCAACTCTGGGAACCTGATTGTTGGCGCTGTACCCCATCCAGCCCATCTGACTGCAGCGGACTGTGGGTTTTACACAAGACAATTCAAGTCCTAAGATGGAACATTGAGAAAGAGAAGACAAAGGGAAATAAGACCATATGGCAATTTGCATATCATAACAGAGAAACACAACTTTCAATAGAAGAACTCTGAGACTTTGAGCCGAACAGGCTCTAAATAATAATGGTCATGCACTGTAGGTTAATGTTTCCTGCAAGAGGTAGAAAATGTTTTAACTTTAGACATTTACATTATCTAGTTCTAGTTGCGAGAATCAAGTTTGTCATATGTATATTGGCCGGTTTTGTTGAGAAGCACAAGTTCACTGGATAATACAAAGAGAAGATTAATTTGATATGATATATATTAACATGGAATGAAATTAATAGCTCTGATCTCGTACATATAAATTAGGATTAAAACACAGGTTTAAAATCTAAAATTCCACAAATTTCATATTGAACAATGCATTTAAATCATCATGTCTTCTAAGCAGTAGACAATGAACATGCGTTGCTGTTGTCCATCACTGGTTTGATTAATGGGATCAGTGCAAACACACTCGGCCTGCTGACTGTCAGCGTGTGTGAGAAATCCAAACACACTCTAGACGCCGCAGCCTAACTACATTAATCTCCTATTTTGCCACATTTACACTTTATTTCAAAAGGGATTAAACATCCCTATTCCATTTCACTTGATATGAAAGCATGAAAATCACTGAGCTCTTTTGACAAAACATTGATTTCAACACTGGCGGTCTGTTAGGCATCACTGTCCTTTATTGCAGTAATTAAACTATAGAATAATACAGTGTGACTAACTTTTCCAAGTGTGGAAAAGAAAAGACTTTTGCTTCATCTCCCAGGTCATGGTTTAAAACTAATAACTGATCAGTATTTCTTTCCGGTTTATACTTGACTTTCCACACGTGAAAGCAGGAGGATGCCGAGTTAATGATGTTTGCCTGAGCAACGACCTTTTGTTTATTCTTTTGCCACTGACTTGCAGAGAAAGACATGGGGCGACTGCTGTTAGAACATAATGTAATGATGTGCAAAACTGTTGTTTTGCTTTGAGTTATGAAATCCACTGTTAGTGTTTCTTATGCCTGTTATGTTCCATAATGAACCTATGAAGGAAGCTGCTGAATAAACAGTTTACAGTTTACTTTACTATGTCTGTTCGTCATATTATAAAGCCGTTCCTTAGAAATATTGACCAAAATTAAAAAAGCCAGATTTTTGTAGTTCTTTATTTGATTCATGATACAGATTGCATTTTACATGGAATCGTGGAGTATTAATAGACACATGGAGTGAGTGGAGGGTAATGAAGCCTGCCCTGTCTGAGCTCTCTACCTGCTCAGCCTGACAGTCTCCGTGTGTTTCTGCAGACTCTTCTGTTTTCCTAATCTCAACATTTAGCAAAGTCAAGAACCTTGACGCTCATTCCTTTTTCACAAAAATGACTCCAATCTGGCTGCCGGTCTGCTACAGCTACAATTTAAGAACTGCACTGTCAGCGTCTTCCCCAGCAAAACCCTACTGCGTGTTTTGACTTGTCTGAGGAAGCCAGGATGAAAAAGACATCCATTTATTTCAGTTAGACCTAGTTCACTGTGAAATGTTGCTCTTTCTGTGTACTGTAAATATTCTTAAAAATCTCTGGGGCTTTTTGTTCAGTCCTACCTCAGCTTGACCTCACATTCACACTGACATGGAACAAGAGAGAGGGAGAGAGAAAATGACCTTACATGGAGAAAATGACACTTAGGCAAGTGCATTTCCAAGTGCAGTAGCCAGGAGAACGAGCTACTGGAGAGTCATAATGCTTCAGAGGAAGCAGCTGGAGGGAGACTTGTAAAAAACAATATTGCCAGGATGTTTTTGTTTTTACCAGAAACATGCAAATGATACAAACCATACAGATGTAATATATGAGGTGCAGGATATAAAACTGTATGGTCACACTTTTACCAGACTATTATATACCAGTAAATGTTCCCAGTCAATTCAACTGCCAAATGAACATCATGAACTTGTTGCATATGGTGGCACACAAGGACGGAAACTGTGTTGTTAATTAAGTAAAACTAGTTTTATGAATTTATTTTCACACTTGTCATAGAATAAATAGACGCTGCAAGACTTGCTTGTTTCAAATTGGGTACAGTTCTAAGGAAAGGTAAACGACATGACAGAGGCTGGAGATGCTCAAAGATGCTGCAGGGCTTTTTACCCCTTTAACTTCAGCACTACAGAAAACTGACATCAACCTCAGCTTTTCTGTTTCTTCCTTGTTTAACCCACTGATGCTGGTGTGTGTGTGTGTGTGTGTGTGTTACGCAGCTCACCGGGTTCTCATCCAGATGGGAGGCTGAACTGAACAACATTCTGCCGATGCTCTGTGCCACTGAGTAAACTGGTGGATTTGCTCTAGTACACACAGCACCCCTCTGCCACCTGCACAAATGCAGACCTGATTTAAAGTATTAGTACGTGGGTATGCGTTTGCTGCTAGGTCACTGGGATGCGCTGGTTTGTTGCTGATGTTTGGTCTTTGTATTTTTTCCCCCTCACACCAGCCTTAGTCAAGTGGCCAGAATTCTTGTAGATTAACATTCCTTTACTTCTTTTCTCTCCTCTCTTCCATCATGTTCAGCATCCCTGCACTCCCTGCCGGCGCATCTTTCCAACCCAACGAGGCCCCCTACAGGTGCAAACTCACTGATGCTGAACTGAACAGGTGGGTAGATATAGTAGACTTTTATTTTGACGTCATTTGACCCATTTAGAAATGATTTGCATATTTCTTCTCATCTTTGGGAGATGATGGTGCTCAGGGACTTTGCAGTCTGTAAAGCAAGTCTACATAACTGCAGGGCGTGATTGAAGCAAATGAGTAGATTGTGTCTGTAACTAACACGGTCCTTAGGTCCCAGTATTTGTGGTGTCTTTAAAGAAGGCATCAGGCTCCACGGGCCTGCTCCGAGAAAATAACTGGTTTCATTTTTATTAGTTATGACACGTGTTTGATCTGATTTAGTGCAGAAATGACAGGTTTAAGGATTCCAGGACATTTGGCTCTCAGTCTTCTTTGCTGTGAAGGACACCGATGAAGACTTCCCTTAGAAAATCTCACTTCAGCATTACTGTTCCGTGTCACTGAAATGAATGAACCTGCACCGTGTGTGTTCCCCTATCCTATTGCGCCACACCGTGGAAATACCATCTCTCTTTCTCTCTCCCTCTCTCAGTTTGAAATGGAAACGGTGCTAATTGCCTTTGCCTGTGTGCTGTTTACGTTGAGTCTAGTTTGTTTTCAAGAGTGATATGATGATTATGCTCTCAAGATCCATAACAATGTCACAAACCGCAATCATGCACTTAAAAAGACTGTCAAGTTTGCTGGGATGTCTGCTCATTAAAGAGGAGAAAAGGCGCTCATTCCAGCAGTCCCAGTAAGATGTTGATGCTGTAATGTGTAGGGGCTGAACTAGACGGAGTTGGACTGGTAGACACTTGCAGGTAAAAGCTGCCTGACACCAGCTAAAGACCTCTGCTTCCATCTTGTGGCTCCTCGGCGCAACTGTTTCTCCTCTGACTCTCCCTCCCCTCCATGACTCCTTCTCTCTTTAATATCGGCACTGTGGCGAATCTAATCTGGATCTCCTTTAAGGCAATAAAACCCAGATAGCTTCCTTTAAATGAAAAGCGCCGCTTATTATAGCTTTGAAATCCTCGTTTATTTGGCGCTGTGCATGATAGAGAAATGATTCATGTCGAGGTTCAAATGGGCAGGATGACGAAGATCCTTGGTGTCCCAAGTGCATATTTCCTCAAGTATTGTATTCCAAGCTATATAATAGCGTTATCCACGCAGGTTGAACTATGCTGCACGCCAAGATGCTTGTTTTAATGTCGCACAGCTTTATCCGTTCGAGCAGGCAAAAGCAATTTCCGATAAATCTAACCCCGTCGCTGAGCTGGTAGAGGGCTGTTGTAATTTTCTGGTGTGTTGATGACAGTACAGGAGTGCAAAGCCAAGACTGCTAACCGTAAAACTTTACCATCAAGGCTTTTACACAGCTACCATTTTTATTTTGCTTCAGTGTGAGAGTAAACACAACAAAGCATGGCAAAGAAATGATTTGGGTTATGTTTTAATCTACAGTCAGTCTGCAGGCGAACAGGGTCAGCATGCTATGGATCCATGTTTAAGGGGGTCTTAAAATATAGAAAGTATGACACGAAAATATTTCTATATCAATATAATGAAATATGATATTTACAAATGCAAGGCGCACACATGCGCTAATCCCCGGTCTTTCCAAAGGCAGCTAATCCTGGCGCATACAGGTCCATTAAAGACCCGCCAAATATCCCCAGCTTTTGTTCCCATGGAAGAAACATCTGCATCCTACTCAGCATCACTCACGGATTACTAGAATCACAAGAAAATGACAATGCAAATAGCGGGTTCAACATAGATGAATCAGTGGAACTATATGCACGTTTCTGTAACTGCTGTCGGTATGAAACGCGCCTCAACTTACAAAACTACGGTGGAGTAAAAACCAGTCTAGGTTTTTGTGAGACCCTGTCTGTAACTGGTGCAGGATGTGGACATTTTTCCACCTGATACGGAAGTCCCCCAAAGCGAACTCTCAGCTCAGCTGGGGCGAATCGTGTCAAACAGTTTTCCGTGTCTCTTTTAGAAACAGGCCTACGCATTCCAGCAGAACTCAAAGCAAACAAGGAAGAACACTGTCTGGTATTAAAAATAGTTTTTACGCTATGACGGGCCACTTTCTGGGACAGACAATAATCAGCCTTTCACTGGAGAATGGAGGGATAGAGGGAGAAGTGAAATGAGAGGGCTGTTGTTGGCATAGCTCTATCAAGGAAGAAGGACTCCCTGTTTTCTATGAATGGGGCTTCTTTTTTGACCAGAACAGATATAGCACGAATTTTTAATTCGTTTTTCTTTGAGAGACAACAACGCTTTATTTGAAAGCTTGATACAATTTAGGGGTTGTAAGAGATCCCTTTCTCCTTGTCCGAGCCCAGCTGCCCATATGGGATACAACGTGCGCAGCAAAGATCACAATGGCATCAAGTGACAGGGAGGACAAAAAGCCCAAAGATACATCTCCCTGACTCTGAACAGCACCGAGACGATCTGTCAGTCTCTCTATCTGCACTGTCTGCATCCTCACTCCTGCTGCTCGTTAACATGCACGCCTCTAACATCCTGCAAACCAGGCCCAGGCTTTTGTCTGTGCGTTATGTTGGGTACTGTAATTATGCAATGATAGAGTGACCAAGCTGAGAGGAGAAACCTGAGGGCAAAGAGCCTGGCCACACAAACGCCGACATCAGTGAGTTTTTCAATAATTATTGTCCTAAGAATGGTTGAGTTTAAGTGCGATTTGAAAGAAAGCAGACATCCACTCACTTCTCACGGCCATTTGTCAGGTTACTTTGTCTAATTGTCACAGCGAGTACACTGCGTCTCGCTTCATAGTTCTCCTCACATCGGTTTCCCATTTCTTTACGGATTAAAAATCATTTAAAAAAACCAATCACACCTATAAGTAAGTTGTTGATTTATCTGACCTACAAGCTCAACCAGTGGTGAAACACAAAACCTCCATGCCAGGGACAAATTGAGTCTGTGTCGCCCACAAAAGCAGTAGCCCCTTGAGACTAAATTCTGTAAATAATTAGCAAATCTGGCCAATTTAGCTGTTTGTTCAGTGATGATAGGGGCGACTCTAACATCTGTTGTGAGATGTTTGCCCCGGGACAAACAAAATGCATAGATTTTTCTACTAGGTTATCATATTTACCCAAGATATTGACTGGAGGCTGATAATCCGCAGTGCGCTCTCGGCGGATCACTTGGGAGCCATTTGTGCTTGTTTTGGTTCCACCTTAGAGAGCATGTTGTCTAATCGTGTATTTTTAATACGGGGTATCATTGCTAATGTTATATGGTGACATAAAATAACTTTATTAGGTGGTTAAAGCCCCTGTAAGCTGACCGCTGGTCGTGGTTAAACAAAGGAGGCTGCTGAGTCACTCATTATTCCTGCTCTATTTGCAGTTTAGCGCTTAACAAGATAAAACATTTATTGCATTAGACGATATTTTGCACCCGCAGTCTTCCACTCTCCAACCAAGGCCGGGAGTGGTGTGGGGACGCTGACAAAAAGGAGAGCTTTGCATTCAAAAGCTTCTTATGTGGAGAAGCCCTCTTATATTAAGTAAGTGGATTTTAGTCCCATTTGACGAGTGACTTTAGGCTCTTTATTAGCGAGGTGTTGGGATTCAGAAAAATATTCTCCGGATTAAATTTGCCTAAAAAGAACAGAGAGGAGTGCGCTGGAGATTTGTTGCCACTCGAGCCCCATTCTGTGCCATTAGACAATGTTTGGCTCCTCGTCTTTTGTTGGGATATTTAGCGATGAATCAAATCCTTATTTCAGAAACACGGAGTTGTGTTTATATCACTTGTTTGGATATTGCGCCATCGCCGCGCGGCTACTCTGGTTTTTGCACATATATGATCTGACAGTGCGTCCATAATGTTTAGCCAAAAGATGACTCCCTGTTGTTTTTAAATTCGGAAATACACAAAGGCTGAACTTCATCTTTCCGCTCCCGAAGCTTCTCTAGGTTGCAGACATTTGCCATAGAATATTTACAGGAAATAAAAACAAAAGGGAAAATAGCTGAAAAGTTGCCAGTGTTTATTCATGGCCATAAATATTTTTCGGTCCATAAAAGAAGCAAGAAATTAAAATTTCTATAATTATAAAGTGGTTCGTACGTGCTGATAATAACACGAAGGGACAAAAGAAAAAAAAAAGAAGAAGAAAACATCTCTACAACCAACACACAACATACTTTACAAAAATGTCACAAGAAGAGCATTTACATTCTTAATAAAATCTATAAGGGAGAGGTTTGGACCCAGTTCTCTTAACGAAAACATGTAAACACGGCGCACACATGAGCCCCGAATAAAAATGGTAGTATATGTATGAGTCAAGCTGCAAAAATGAAAAGTCTTTTGTTTTGTGTTTTATTTTTTTCTCTTTGCTTTGTGGTGAAACTCGCTATCGTGCCTCCATGCCAAGTCTCTATAATTTCTCTCACCAAGTCCACTGTTGCGTTTGCACCAAGTGATGTGCTGTGGGGAACTGTGGCGTGGCCGCGGCGCTGTACTGCGCGTTATACTGCATGTTTTGGAGTGACTGGGCACTATAAGCCGAGAAGGGGATCCCGGCCTGAAAAGTGGCCGCCAAGTCCTGAGCTTTAAGAGTGTGACAAGGCTTTCCATCCCTGACTAAGACGGGTACGGCCACCCGCCTGGGAGAAGGGAGATGGGTCACTTCCATACCTTTCTCGGCCCGGGCTCTCTTCATCTTATACCGGTGGTTCTGGAACCATATCTTCACCTGGGTCGGGGTGAGGCGGATCAGGCTGGCCAGGTGCTCCCTCTCCGGGGCGGAGAGGTACCTCTGCTGTCTGAAGCGGCGCTCCAGCTCGTAGGT